TTGCTCGTTACGGGCTTCTTTTGCTTTATTATATCTTTTTATTGTCTGCTGCAGCCGCAGAGACAAAACGTCGATGGGGGCCCCCGCTGCTGCTCTTAGGGCCTCACCGGGGGCCCCCTGCTGCTGTGCTGCTGCACACCGCCGGTACAGAGCAGCAAACGCCTGCAGCAGCAGCAGCAGCAGCAGCAGCAACAGCAGCAGCAGCAGCAGCAACAGCAGCAGCAGTAGCAACAGCAGCAGCAGCAACAGCAGCAGCAGCAGCAGCAACAGCAGCAGCAGTAGCAACAGCAGCAACAGCGGCAGCAGCAGCAAAAATATATAAGTAAGAAGAGAGAAATAAAAAAAAGAAAAGGAGATAGATAAAGAAAGTGACAAAAGAGAGAAAAAAAGAAAAAACAATAAAATAAAAAAAGGAGACTGTCTCCTTCGGCGCTAAAAAAAACCCTAAACCCTAAACCCTAAACCCTAAACCGTAAACCCTAAACCCTAAACCCTAAACCCTAAACCCTAAGGCCCTATAGAGAGAAGATGCAGAGAGAAAGGGAAGAAAGAAGAGACAGATAGACAGATAAACACAAAAGGAGAGACAGAAAGAGACAGAGAGAGAAAAATAAACAAAAACAAAAAAAAACAAAAACAAAAAAGGAGACAAAGAAACAGAGAAAAGGAGACAGATAAAACACTGTCTCTACCTTCAGGGTTATGGGTTTGGGCCCCAGTTCATTCTCCTCTTCTTTTTTTGCTGCTGTTGCTGCTGCTGCTGCTGCTGTTGCTGCTGCTGCTGCTGCTGCTCCTGCTCCTGCTGCTGCTGCTGCTGCTGTTGTTGCTGCTGCTGCTGCTGCTATCTGAGCTGCTGATCGTTGCAATATATTATTTTTATTATTTTCATTTTTATTTTTATTTTTATTGTTTATAAACCCCCCCAAAAGAACAGCAGGAGGCAGCAGCAGCCCCTTGGGGTGTACAGACAGCTGGGGGGCCTCATCTGCTGCAGCGGGGCCCTTCGCTAGCTGCTCACATAACCAAGCTACTTGCTGCTGCAGCTGCTGCTGCACCTTCTGCTGCAGCAGCAGTAGCTGCTGCTGCTGCTGCTGCTGCGGCTGCTGTGGCACCAGTTGCTGCTGCTGCTGCTGCTGCGGCTGCTGCGGCAGCAGCAGCACTTCTCGGTGACTCTCCTCCTTCATTATATAGCTGTACTGCTGCAGCCTGTTATAGGGGGCCCCCTAGGGGGCCCCCCTCTCTGCTGCAGCAGCAAGGGGGGCCCCCTCTCCTCGCTGGGGGCCCCAGGAGAACGAGACAGCTTGG